CTGGAAATTTAGGAGCAGTAGCTGCTTTCTAGTTGCTAAATCTTTGGACCAGATAACTTGGCCCTATACACCAGACAGTCCCAGCACCTGGCTGTAGACACTGACCCTTCATGGGTTCTGACCCATGAAGCAACCCCATGTCACTCATTTGGCTTGTGGGGCCAGAATATTGTATGTCACTACTTTAGCTCTTTTCAGAATCATAGATCCACCCGTGGAAACCAGTCTTCAGGAACAGCTAGGGAGTACGCTTTAGGATGAGTTAGTTGAGGATGAGTTAGTTGAGGACTAGGCTCACTCTCTCTCCCCTATGCAGCTATGACTTGAAAAATCTTTCTTCATTCTGCCTTCCCAAAAACAAGGTGTGCATCTTATTTGGTAGCATGTAGTATCTAATAAAATATGGTAGTGAAGGGAATGGAGACTTTTTCTTGTAACATATTAAAGAAGTCTGCCTTGTTTACCTTAACAGGGATAGGATTATTGTTATTTTTACACATATATTCAAGGTGAATGTTACAGAGGGAGAAGAGCTTTTGGGGTTGGAAAACTGGCCCACTACAAGATCAGATGGCTACACTCTGGCTATCAATACATTTTGATTAGAAAATAGAATTCTACCACAGGGATCATCTTCCAGCTTTTTTGATCAAAGTAATAGGGGAAGGAACCAAAATCTATTTAAGATTGAACTTCGTAAATTTATGGAAGGTGCACTGTGATAAGATAGGAGATTCTTTATTCAAGAATCAGTGCATGGCTTGTTTGGCAATCAGTGTATGTATGCAATGCATGGAAATATTTGCAATCCCCATGTTTAGGTGCAAAGAAGCCCTCTTATAATATTGGTAGGTTTTTGGTAATCCCATTCTTCAGCGATTTTGCTTATTACCTATTGGGCCAGAAAGGACTTTTTCCCCTGGGGGGGTGGAGCAGGAGTACGTGGGGGAAGGCAGCTTCTGAAGTGTTTCTGCCTTCTGAAAAGTGGGATATTGGCCACAGCTGAGGTTAGGGTTTTTTTTCGTTTGTTTGTTTAACTGGCTTGAATGGTAACTCCTCATTGTTCTTCAACTGAGTCGTCTTCTGGCTTGCAGTCTTGCTCTTTTATTCAGAGCCATAATGATTACCAAATCTGGGGTCAGGAAGATTTCCCCCCCCCCCCCCCCCCCCCCCTCCCTCCCTTGGGCACTGATGAGGACTGTAGTGACTTTGGACTATGCCTCATGGTACAGAACTTCTCCTGTAGTTCCTTGAGCATATGTTAATTATTGCCCTGTCATTGTAGTGCCTGTGCACTGACAGTGTCCTTGTCTCCTGGTTTGGCATGCTGTAGAGTCATGATATTTCTGGTTTTGTGTTATGTAGTTGTGCTTGAAAGTTTGAAATGGTGGTTTTGAGAGAACCTCATATTGCTTGCAAATACAGGGGTCTGATCTGAATAGCCCAGAAGGTCCCTTCTAATCCTGTGTTTTTCATTGTATTGACTATGCTGTTGCTCACAGCATATTGGACTATGGCAGTGTTTGGTATTGTGTCAGTTAAGTGCAACTTTAACGTTGGTCAGAAGTATCATTTCAGTCAAATCACACCTTACAGAATGTAAGGTTCCCTTGTTAGATGGGTTGGGTAGCCCTGTCAACCAACTCAAATTTCCACGATTATCCTTGAGAATTATTACACAGGTCACGAGATAAAAATGCCAGAATGCAGTCCAAGCAACGTCTTACATTTTGCTACAGTGACACTGGTGCTGCCAATTGTATTCTCCTATTGTAAGTTATGCCTTTTAAGGGCTTATAGTGGTCTAGTTGAAATTGATGGAAAATGACTGAAATGGTTTCAGAATCAAGCCCTGGATATGGAGAGAGGATTTGTTATACTTTCTGACAAATGGAAGGCTTCATGTGTGGCCCATGTCTAGAAGAAGGTGGGGATTGTACAAATACAATGGAAATGGGAATGAAATAAGATGTTTACTTGGTCTATTCTAGAGACTGGAGAGGAGTAGAGAAATTAAGATGTCTGTTTTCTGTCCCCTTGAGACCCTGAGATTTTTAGGTACAGCTTTAAGTATATGAGGTTTTTAAATTCTAACTGGCTTTTTTTTCCCCTTCCTCTTCCAATGAATCACTGTGTTTAATGCCCCTAGCAAATATTATACTTAAGACATCTGAAATAGTAACCTAGCCACATGTTAATGCCATTAATGGCATGATAAAAGCAAGGAATAAGTTGCAACATTTTTGCAAAAAAGATTGTGCAAGAGCTGTGGCTAGCTTTCCCATCATGCCTTAAATAGTCCATGTGGCCAGGCATCAGCTGATCAAGACTCCCAGTCAAAGGCTGCTATGCTCAAGGACAGGCTTGCAAGGTGGGCAGATCAAAACCTGATGATGTTTAATATGGAGAAATAATCTGCAGTACACTTACAGGCTTAGTGGTGCTATACTCGGCAATACCACAACTCAAAGAGACCTGGGGGTTGTGATAGACCACAGAATGAATGTGAGCCACCAACATGATGTCATAGCTGGCAGAGCAAACAAAACACTGGCATATATCTACTGATATATTTTAAGCAAGGCTAAGGAGGTCATTCTCTTGCTTACTTGGTCTTCGTGAGCCTGCAGCTGGAGTACTGTGTCCAGTTCTGGGCACTGCCCTTCAGGAAGGATGTGGAGAAGCCTGAGAAAGTGCAAAGGAGGGCTGGACAGCAGGTCATATGAGGAGAGGCTGAAAGACATGGACTGTTCAGCCTGAAGAAAAGAAGACTTAGAGGGGACTTGGTGGCAGCCTATAAGTATATTAGGGGCGTACATCAGGGCCTAGGGGAGTATCTGTTTACCAAGGCACCCCAGGGGAAGACGAGAACCCATAGACACGAACTGCTTGAAGATCAATTCAGATTGGACATAAGGAAAAACTTATTTATGATTCAAGTGATTAGGGTCTGGAACAGACTCCCCCCAGAGGTGGTACGGTCACCCACCCTCGAGATCTTTAAAAAGATCTTGACACCCATCTTGCTGGGGTCATCTGACCCTAGCAGTCTTTCCTGCCCAAGTGCAGGGGGGCTGGACTCGACAAGCTGTGTTGTCCCTTCCAGCCCATAATGTCTATGAATCCCTGAGACTGGGAGCACCAATCAGTTGACCGCTGCTTCCAGCCTTGGGAGGCATACCAGAACCCTTTACTCAGATGCACCCCCTGAGGTCGGGAGCACCAATTGGCTTATTTCTGCTCTCAGTCTAGAAGGTGCATCTGATGTGTCCCTTGGCTCCAGTGTGTTCCTGAGGTTGGAATCCATGATCAGCTGCTTCTTCCAGTCATGGGGATGCATGGGGCCCTTGACTCTGCTGCATCCTGGAGTCTGGGAGCGCAGATCAGCTGATCAGGTCTCCCAGCCTTGGGGGTGCTTTAGTCAAGGGGTATGGTATATCCCTGAGGCTGGGAGCAGCAGTTAGCTGATTGGTGCTCCCAGCCTCGAGTGCTGTGGGTGCCGAGTATAGCCGGAATGGTGCCGCGATGGAGTGGAATTAGGCACAAACGCGTACTGGTTGAATTGGAAAAGAACTTTACTTTCAAACTGACGTACAGCGACTTGTGTCGATGCACACAGTGTAGGCACGCTCCGTACAGGTTACAAACAAAAGAGAAACTGGGTGGCACACCGATGTTTCTGAGCATGCAGGGTGCGGGGTACGTCAGGACGGTCATCGACGGGGAGTGGTTGATCAGGCCTCCAATTTTGCTCCGAGGTACACGAGGAACTCGTTCCCAACGTACACACGGAGTTCTCCGACTTGGGCGGAAACTACCCAAGCTTTTATACGGCTAGTGAGCCAATTGCTAGCCGTTGGGCGTGAATAATTTACAATGAGCCAATCGGTAGCATGCATCCAAATGGTGCAACTGCTAGTTTTGGCAGGAGCTGATCACTGCACCAAGGCTTTTCCTGCCGTAGCGAGGCATCCCTTGCACCGAGTACTCGTATCGTGCTAAGAATTCTGCTGTGTTGAGGCACTTTTAATTACTAAGTACAGACAAGTGCTTTGGAGCCTTTGACTCCAATGTGTTACTGAGGCTGAGAGCAGGATCAGCTCAGTGGCTTGCTACTTGCTGGTGCAAGAGAAGCCTGGGAGCTGGTCTTGCATGCAGTGTGAAGAGTGAATGAAGTATGCATTCAAACATATTGCTTAACTTGTATCCTTATGATATGCAGATAGGGAAGCTGAGGCCTTCTAGTAAGGCCTCAGTGGCTGGGCTGGAAGCAGAACGTAAGTGGTTTGAGTGTTTATACTGTAGGTTGCCTCCCCCTTTATAATTTTTATGCAGCAGTTGCCTGTACAATGAGAATATAATCACATACTTCAGTGACCACCAAACAGCCATTCAAACAAGTGCTACTTAAGACGTTTCAGAATGTATTTCCTCTTGTCTTTTGAGATCTGTTGATGAGATACTGACTCCTTGCCCACAACTTATCATATTATAGGAGATCTTGATGTCTTGTGAGGTGAAGAAACCTTTTTAGACTCTACGCTATTTAATCAACAAACACAAGCTGCTTGTGCAATATCTTGATGAACTTTGATCTAGAGCCTTTGTGGTACTTATCTTCCTCTTTCAGTTTCTGTAATGCTTTAGTTGGTGCTTCTTTTTAAATAGTAATGCTTAAAATCTTTTCAGAAACTTGTGTGGTAACATGATCATTTTCAGTCTTCTCCAGAGACAAATATTTAATGAAGAGGTTTTTCCATATGTGTTGGGTTTTGCTTCTGTGTCCAGTAGGTGCTAGATTTATTTGTAACAAACTTGCTTAAAGATGAGGATATATTCAGAAATATATTTTGAAATTTTGCTTAAAGGTAGGTCTAAATGTATATAAAATTTAAAAATGGTAAATATATAAATTGTTTGCTTGTTATTTCCTACTGTTGTCACTGAATTCCTGTCAATACTTACAAGCTGCATAAATTTTCACATTTCTTTTCAGGTTTGAAGAATAGAAGCATGCTTTCCACTGAGATTTACACTAACATTTGTGATACAGAATGTCTTTAAGTGAGAAGAATAGTGTGGTTTTTGCTTATGAGTCTTCAGTACACAGTACCAATGTTCTACTCGGTCTCAATGGTCAGAGAAAGCAAGATATTCTTTGTGATGTTACTATTTTAGTGGAAGATCAACGATTTCGGGCTCATCGGGCTGTGCTTGCAGCTTGCAGCAGTTACTTCCTTTCAAGAATTGGCCAGTTGGATGCTGATCTTATCATCACTTTACCAGAAGAGGTGAGTCATTTGAATTGGTATACTTCTGGACAGCACCAAGTATTTCTAATCTATTACATGAAATTCTGTTCTTGCAGTAAGTGTTTTAAATTGAGATTTATTGTACTTATAGGTAAGAGGCTTAGGAGCAGGAAAGGTGCTCGATGAGTGGACACAGCTGCTTCACAGATGATGCCTATTGGGTGTGGACACATTCACCTAAGGAAGTTGAAAAGCCATTTTAAAACATCAAATCAATCCTTTAAAGAGCTGTACATTTTAGAATGCTCAATACTTGCAGTATTACAGCTCAGGTTCAGAAAATATCTTGTAAAACATGGAAATTCATCTTTTCCCCCACTAGCAAGGGTTTCAAATGCCACACAGGTGTTCAAGAACACAGAGCTTCATGTGTGACAAGGGAATATGTCCAAATCAGTCAATGCTGTAGTTAAGCAATGTGAAAACTCTGCAACTCCATGGTTTGATGGTGGTGGCTATGTTGAAACAAAGTCATGCCACTTAACAAATTTACGATTCATGTTTCTTCAAAATTTGTAATGGTGAATGTTCAGTTATCCATAGCAATCCAAGTAAGTATGACAACTCTAAATAAATATGTTGCCATATTTACAGTAATTTTGAAAGCAAATAAGAGAACTTGCTGTTCTCTCTTCTCTTCCCACTCATGTCTCCACCCCAGACACTTTTTAGCTGTTTGAATTACTACCAATCTTTCCTTAATGTAAATAGAAAAGAAAGCATATAGAGGTGACCTCTCTCTCTCTCTCTCTCTCATTTTAACAGTTTAAAAAAAATGCTGATGCATTTAGGGGAAATAAATAGAACATTGATTTTCATGTTGTCTTTTTAAGGGAGAAGATGGTTAACTACATGTTTCATACTTCTAAGAAGTGACAGGTGAAACAATAACCTTGCTTATGTTCTTAGTTTTGCTATCTTAGATTTTACGTAGTATTCAGCAATGTTGCTTCTTTTCCTTTTTTCAGAGATTTATGTTGCAAATTTAGGTACAAGGCACTGACTTGCCAAGAAAATGGTCACTTTCACCTTCTTAAATTGCAGCTGGAAGCCTTATTTTGTACCCTGGTGCAGCTTTACTGTGCCTGGGTAGTAGTTTAGCTACTAAGGCATACAAACACGTGCATCTTTTACAAATTAATAATAAACTCTTCCCCATTTAGTCAGTCAGTCATGACAACAATTCCCTTGTGTTTTCTTCCTACTCCAGTAACCAACTTGGTATTTATCTTGCTCTCAGTCTTATTTTGGATTCTTGGCAGCTGATGTATGTGGAAGTCAAGGATGAATGAATACATTCAAAACTTACTTACTTTGAATGGCTTGGAAGAAGGCTGCAGCCTTCAGGTGTTCTGATTTGTACAACTGAATGGCAGTAACTTCTCAAACAATTGGAGTCAGACTTAAAGCTTTATAAATGACTAAAATGAACTTGAATGGGTAGTTTTCTGAAAGCTCTTATCTGATAGGCATATTTTGGAAAGGAGCCAACAAAAGTGGGGTTGACGCATCTAGTATCTATTAAAGTAGTAGAAAATATAGCGGTCAGTGTCCACATCCTGTTGACCTGGACAGGCCAAATCTTGTTACATTCTAAACATATCTGTATCCCTAATGTAAACGACCAAATAGGTACCGATAACATAACGTTATGTGTAATCTGCTGCAAAAAGCTCTAATTTCTTGCAGTAGTTGATTCTTCGGCTTTGAAAGGTATCTACAGTTGGAAGGGAAAGCAGAAACAAGCTGTAGATAATGGTTGTGGTATAAGGCTAGTTCTGCCTTTGCTTATATGATGGAGATTTTTCAAGTTGGTTAAATAGGCATAGTAGGCAGTTGATCTTATTGTTGCTTGTAAAAGTAAATTATCAAAATGATTTATTGGCAAATGAGTTGGAAATCACATTATTTGCTCAATGTCGCATTGTGAGCCAAAGTCTGTTTATGGTAGGTTTCAGAATAACTTTACCGATAGAAGAACAGAGTCTGATTAGAACTGGAAAAGCTGGCTCACGCTCTCCTTTAGTTCAGTAAAACTGCCCATTCCTTCCAAACAAGACTCAATTGAAAGTTACAAGTGCAAGTCAGTTAATTTAGGCAGATTTAAATTATGTGGTCTGGTCTTATCCAGGCTATAAGAATAGAGTGCTTTTAGGAAAAGGTAGAATTCTATAAATTTTATATAACCATGCCTTAATTTAGTTGCTTAATTAAAATGCAGATTAGGAGATAAGCAACTGCTTGTAAAATGTTTTACACCGTTTTTACTAGTGTTTGGTTTCAAGCATGGGAGAAGATTGCTCTTCATATTATCTATCCTTGCTTTATTCTCTCGAATGGTACCATGGGTGGATGGGGGTGTATGATAGGTTGTTAGAGCTAAAAACAAGTGGGCTAAAATGTATCATCAAGAAGGTCCTAAAAAAGTAAGACTGCAGAAGTGATATTTTTATTTGATCATGAGAACATGCAATGAAATCTTGGATAGTGTATCAGTTGATAAGTTCAACTGACTTAGTTTCAGTTTAATCATCTCTCAACCTACCATGTCTGACTCTTATCAGCTTCCAGACTGGGACATCCATTCTTATGATGTAATGCAGGGTTGCTCAACCCCAGGCCTATGGGTCTGATCCAGCCCCCATCTGATGTGTGCATCTTCCCACATGTATATGGGGTGCCCTGTGGCCTGTAGCCCTGCATGCTAGGTCGGGTATGTAGGGGCTGTGTAAGGCAAAAACATTGAGCACTGTTGGTGTAACTCATTTAACAATCTTCACTCTGAAACTAGGGGAATATTACATAGCAGAGGTGCATCGATGTATTGGTCCATGTTGTATTGGCACCAATAGCAGGAAATTTGACATTATCGGCAATCTGCTTTATTTAGCTGATGTTGCTAATAATGTCACCGATAAATGCCGTGTTCCTGCGCACAACCAGGAGTGCAGCTGGAGAGCAGTGTCCGGCTGGTAAGTCTGGGGTGGGGGTGTGTGCAGATTGAGACCCCTGCAATGAGGGAGGGAATAGGGGCTGGGGCAGGTGCTGCCCAGGTGGAGTGGGGTGCAGCATGGAGGCATGGGCAGCTTGTCCAGAGGCCTTGGGGGAGGAGACGGGGTGGCTCCCACTGCTGTGCGCAATCCCAGGGGAGGAGTGGGGGGCATGTTCCCCCCTAGATTACTGTCTGGGATGAGGGTGGGTAGCTCACTGGGGCTGAGATGGCCTCTTCCTGGCAGGGGGGCTGGGCCAGGGCTGCGCTCAAGGCATGCGGCAGCAGTGCTGGGAGGATGCATATGGAAGGGGGTTGTGGCAGATTTTGGGGTGTTTGCTGGTCGTTCTGTACCCCGTCTCCCCCAGCATCGCCACCACCTGCCCTGGCCCAGCCCTCCTGCTAGGAAGAAGCAAATGCATCCCCTGTCCCTGAGCCTGCAGTAGATGGCCCACCCTTGCCCCATGCACAAATCTGGGGTGCATGTGCCCCCCATGCCTCCCCTGAGGGTGCACTCAGCAGCCGGGAGCCCCCAGCTCGCCCTTCCATTCCCCCAGATGAGCCACCCGTGGCTCCATCCTATGCCCTGCCCTGCTCTGTCTGGACATCCCCTGTCCCTGCCCCAGCCCCACTCCCTCACTACAGGAGCCTCTATCTTGCCCTCCTCCATGTCCCTTCCTCCTCACAGACTTACTGGCTAGATGCTGCTCTCCATGCTGCCAGGCTGCATATTGGCAGTTGGTTTGGTATCGGCCGATGTGGCTCACTAGTAATCGGCCACCGGTATTGGCCACAAAAATCTTTATCGGTGCACCCATACCATATAGTTGTTTTATAATTGGAGTTTAGCTTATATGAACTAGTACAATGTCATTTAACTTGCTGGCATTGCAAAGCCACTGTAGTTAAGCTTGAAATTTAATTCTGTTCCAAGTCACTTAAGTCATGCTGGGAAGCATGACTTTACTGCTGATGATATTCTACTTCCTTTGTAGGTGATATCCAAAGTATTCAGTCCAGCATCATTCAGTCACCCTGAAATATCTGTTCATTATTGTAAGACCTTAGAAGTTGTCTCTCTTGCTATATATAAATAAAATAACCTTTGGTATGAATCTGAAGTGCAGTAAGTGATTCTGCAATACCTAGTCCAGGAAAGCACTTTCACTGCCAAATAAAGAATATGCACGCTGGGAGTTGTTGCTGAATACCTGTTCTGCAATAGATAATCCAGACCATTTCCCAGTATATTCAAGCCCTTACACTCAGCTTGTCTGCCTGTCTGTCAAATAATACATTTTAAATACCACGCTGTGAGCCACCCTTCAGGCACATATTCCTATAAATCAAAGAAGGTGGCGTTTAACACATGTGAGCGCACTGCTGCATAATAATGTTCTCATTTCTCAAGGTTTTCACTGTAGTTCTATATGTTGACAGTCTGACTTTTGCCCCAGTTAAGAAAAAATGAGGGCATATGAACTCTTGATGGGGTGGAGAATGGAGGGTTTTGGTGTAGTATAGAAGGGGGCAGTTGAAGGAATGGGGCAGCTCCCCTTGGTATAGGAAAAATTGGGTCACACGTTGTCCCTAGCACAAGTGAAAGGTTTGCCTAGAGTCCCTGAAATTTAGTTTGGTAATTCCTCAGTTTCTAGTGAGTAAAGTATTTTTAAAGATACTGAGTTGGATCTAATTGATTTTAAAAATCTTTTAATTAATTATCAGTGAATCTGATAATTAATTAATTAATTTACCAAATCTATTATGTCTTTATCAAAAGATTGGCTCCTCTTATGACTTGGGGTTCTTTTATGGCAGTTGAAATATTTTCTAGTATTTCTCATGTTGAGCCTTTCATTCCATTTCAAGGAGAGCTATAACTGTATCTTGCATATTGTTTTTCTGTCACAGAAATCAAGCCGAGCCCACTTTGGGTCATTGTAAAAGCTGAAAAAAAAATGCAGGCGATACTTACGTTGAACCATTCTTGCATGAAACCATTCTGAAACAGCATTTTCTTTGCTTTCCAGAATAATGTATTAGTGGCATTTGTCAGGGCCAAACACATTATCCAACCACTGCTAGTCAGAGCACTTTACTTCATAGATTTCTAGAGTCAGAAGAGACCTGGTAGATCATTGGGTCTGACTCCCTGCTCCAGGCAGGAACGAGTGCTGGGGTTAGGTAACCCCAGCCAGATGCCTGTCTAATCTGCTTTGAACCTATCCAGGGTAGGGGAAAGCACCACCTCCCTTGAGAGCCCATTCCATATTTTGGCGACCCTTACCATAAAGAATTTCTTCCTTATGTCCAAACTAAATCTGTTCTCCTTCAGTTTGTGCCCATTATTTCTGTTAACTCCGAGGGGCACCCTGGCAAACAGTGTGTCCCTTATTCCCTGCTGGCAGCCACAAGATCACCTCTCAGCCTTCTCTTGCGGAGGCTGAAGAGATTCAGATCTCTGACTTCATAGGGTCTTACCTGCAGGCCCTCAACCATACGAGTAGCCCTTCTCTGAACCCTCTCAAGGTTATCCATATCCCTCTTGAAGTGTGGTGCCCAAAGCTGGACACAGTACTCCATCTGCAACCTTGCTGGCAATGTGTAAACTTTGTGGAGAAGGCTAGCTTTCACTTTGTTGTGGCCAGATCCACATGTTTAATGACCCTGAAATAAAGGCTATGGGGTTGCTTTAAATACGCACATACTAGCAGGTTACAGAGAGTTAAAAAGGTGCCAGGACTTGTAGCATTGTAACTGATGCACATTAGGTCTCTATCCCAATTAACTTGCTATGCATTTTTATTTGTCTTCACCCTAGTTTTCATGTCTTAGGCCATCTTTGTCAAAGTACTAGGCACAAAAAGCCAGTCATGGTCAAGTTCCCATTTTGAAATGTTCCAATACCAATGGAGGTTTGAATAAACAATGAGAAACAAGTTAAATGCCATAAGTTAGATATGACTTTGCATCTGAGTTTCTGGGATTGCATTTTTTCTGGTCTTTCAGATTCAAGCTGTCTTATGTAATGTATGTCTTGGTCTTCAGTCAACAATGATATTTTACATTTTTTAGCAATAGGAACACAGAGCTGAAAAACTGAAAATAAATTGATTGCATTGCAAAATGGAATGCTGCTATAAAATGATAAAAATTTTCTCATTTTGGGAACAATTTGAGTGTGATCTTGACAACACACAATTTCTTTAATGCATGTTTTTCCTACACTGTTAACTTCTTTTTTTTTAATTTGTTTGTCCTGACAAGTAGAGGATGTTCTCATTGTGTTCCCCTTCTATTGTGTGCTAAGCCTAGAGAGAACAAGCAGAGTACACCAGTATACTGGTTGGCAGTGTACTGGCGTGCCCAAAGAGTATAAGTAATTTCCATGCCACTGTTCTGGGAAGGCTCAGAAACCTTTTATTCAGATTTATTCACTTTGTTTAAAATAACAGTTGTGGCTTACAGGAGTGAACTATATATGCTAACATTGTTGGGGTTTTTTTCTTTTTTAAATATACAGGTGACACTTAAAGGATTTGGTCCTTTACTTGAATTTGCATATACAGCTAAACTTATTTTAAATAAAGACAATGTATCTGAAGTCTGCAAGTGTGCAGAATTTTTGGGAGTACATAATATTGAAGAATCTTGCTTTCAGTTTCTCAAATTCAAATTTTTGGACTGTAAATCAGGCCAACCAGAATGTCCCAGAAGGCAGTGTTGTTCATCACGCTGTCAGAAAACAGATGATAAAATTAACCAGGTGGATGAAGGGGACCTAGGTGATGGAGGAGAGGAAGATGTTCAAACCCCTGACTCACAGCTCCACAAAGATGAAGAAAATGCAAAAGTATCATCTCCTGCTTTCCAGGACACCAGTCAAACATGTGATCCTGCTTGTTTAGAAAAGAGTAATGTTTCTGACTTGCCTTCCCTATGTCCAAAATACAGGAAGTTCCAAAAAGCTTTTGGAAGTGACAGAGTTCAGACTACAGAGCTTAGTTCCAGTATTACAGAAGTTCAGGTAATGTCAGCTGCTTCCATTCATGAGAGCAAATCATTTGATAATAATGCCACACAAAAAGCTCAGGAGTGTGAAATTATGCAGCTGGCTGCAAAATATGAAGAGGCTCAGGTAGAAATGGAAGAGGATGAGGAAGAGGCAGCAAAAGAGGAGGAAATGAAGAGCGATTTGGTGTCTCAGAGTGTCTCCTATCCCGTGGAGAAAATGGATGCTGCTGCTTTTCCACAACATTCTTCTGTTGCACCTCATGGACTTCATCCTGTGCCTTTTTTACATGTATATGAGCAATATGATGATTTAAATTTCAGTGGTATACAAAATAGCACAGTCATAGCAGAAAAAGCTGTAGCGAGTACTGGAGTTAGGTATGACAAACCAGTTGAAAACAAAAACAGTGATTTGCTTTTGAAGTCTGACCTGTGCAGTACAGAAAGCATGAACATTCGAACAACCAGTGATCGTAGCAGTGTGGAGAGAGAGGTTGCTGAACACCTAGCAAAAGGATTTTGGAGCAATGTGTACAGTACGGAAACTGCTTGTCAAATGCATTTGTCACCTGCAACAGCAAAAGAATGCTCAGAATCAATATATTCGGGGAAAAAGACAGAGTGTCCATGGCTTGGCATCAGGATCAGCGACAGCCCTGAACCTTCTCCTCAAAGAACTTTCACAACTTTGAATTCTGTCAACTGCCCATTTATAAGCACCCTTAATACTGAAGGATGCTCAAACAGTTCAGAGATAAGTAGTGGAGATTATATTCAGGGACAGCAAGCGGAGCAATGTCCATTTACTTGTGTGATAAGTTTGGGAGAAGAGTCTGAAACTGACACGGAGGGGGAAAGCGAGTCATGTTCAGCAAAAGAACAGGAATGCGAGGTGAGGATAATCATTCTTCCAGCTCTACTCTAAAGTCTTGTAGACATCATTCCATATCCTACATAATTAACTTGTTTTTTTTTCCTTCTTGTTTCTGAACTTTATTGAGAAATGTGCGTGTGCATGCACGCATGTTAATTGCCAGGCCAGCTAATGCTTCCACTGCTCCCCTACCACCAAATTTCTGTACCCGTGAGAGGACTTTGTGGCCAGGATAATACCATCTTGCATGGAGGACCGAGCTGGTGGGCTGGAGTTGCTCTGTGGCTGGCTCAAGTGCACATGCCTGGAAAGTTGAGCACCACTGGGCTGATTCATAAAACTGGCTTAGAAAAGCTCAGAATGATGTTGCGTACCAGTGAAATAAACATGCAAGATGAGGAAGGGTAGATACTTCAGTATAAGAACTGGTCAACATTTTTCAGTGGAACAGCTGTCATCATTAAATTAAGTCAAAAATTAATTTGACAATGACATTTCTATGAAATTTGATAGGGAAAGGTTAGACTAAGTCAAAATGGTTTAATATTAGTTTAATATACTAAATTTTGATAGAACTCAAAATAGTTCAACAGTTTTAAGATGGAAAATTTCTAGAATATTTTTTTCTATGGGAAAACTTCAAAAATGTTTTTCCTGTTTTGAAACAGGGAGGAAAAAAACTTGGAATTTCCAGTTTCTAGGATTCCTGTTCAGTATAATATATATATTATTGTCAAATAATACTATAAATCATTCCTGTAGTTTGGGTTATGATTGTTAATGCAGCCTCAAAAATTACAGGGCATCTCAGGTTTTTGTGGAGCAGTTGAACATTCCTGTGGTTTTTTTTCCCCCCTTTCTTTGTGTTTCCATTTCCCAGTTCTCCTGCTACTTTGTTGTCATTGATGCTGTAGCATGGCATCCAGCTAAAGGTGAAATAGATAATCCAGTCCCACAAGCTGTACAGAAAGTTACTCAATTCTATTAGATTTTTAGAAATTGGTATGCCTAAATGTTTTGCCTTTTCAAGATATGAGACCCAAATTAAATTCCAGAGTAAGTGGAAAAACTCTTCTTTTGGAAATAAGTGGGACATATAAGACAGCTTCAAGGCTGGTTTTGGCCCATTCTTTTAAACTCTTACTAAAGTAAATAGCATCATCCCTGGGAGTAGCATTCCGTATATAGGTTTAGATGTTGATGTCACCAGTACTTCTAGAAATGTTGAAAGGATTGCTTTTATGAAAGGAGAAAATGTGAAATATGATCATTTTTAAGTCTGCATATGTACTTAAAATGGCTTAGTGGTCATAAATAGGGCGACCTTAAAATATAATAGCTGTTTTCTGAAAGAAAAAAAAGGTGGTTTTCAGTGTTAAACAAGAATTAGTGACAGTTTTGTGACTCCAATACATTTCTTTGGAAATGATGGGGAAACGTATAAGGCTTGTACAAATAAGGGCAGGCTCAGTTTTGGATCCAAAGTGCTAGGCAGCCTAATTATAGAGGTTTCAACCAGTTTCCCTGAACAATAGATATGTAAACATCTCTAGAAATATGACACCTGCATGTGCGTTGTGTGTAAAATTTACATATGCATAATATTTATATTAGTAGTTGGAAAAGAACTTCAGATCATGTTAGTGGTGCCTGCCCAAGGGCTTATCCACTATCAACACTTGTTCCTACACATGATTTAAGAACTAAAATTGTTCTGTGCACTTGTAAATAATCTTTTGAAAACAGTAAACATGCATAGTGTTTAAATTACATTATCTTGAAATTTCTGGATTATGTACAGTTAAATGAATGTAAGATAGCACTTGCTTCCTTTATGGAAGAATAAGATATGTTTTATTGCTGTTGTGTATTCATGCTTATTTTGAGAAACCTTGTAAAATATTTTAAAATCCTGGTACTATCTATTTCCATTTTGGTTCAAAATTCTGTCTTATACTGTAGGTAAAACTGCCATTTAATGCACAAAGGATCATTTCACTTTCTCGAAATGACTTCCAGTCATTTCTGAAAATGCACAAATTGACCCCTGAGCAGCTGGATTGCATCCATGATATCCGAAGACGAAGCAAAAATAGAATTGCAGCGCAGAGATGTCGTAAGAGAAAGCTTGACTGCATCCAGAATCTGGAATCTGAAATTGAAAAACTGGTATGCACTTCCTTATTTTTCTTCTTCAGTCTTTTTTGTTTCCTTGCTCATTCTCTCACACTTGGAAAGGGTTATATGCTACTTAGGAGTTAGTTGTCATGCCCCAACTGCACGGTATCACTTTGTAAAAACAGACAATTTTGGGTTTGCAAACTGCTTCCTGAGTTGTTAGTGACATACGTGTTTCCCATGGAGGCAGTGGCAGGAGCAAGGAAGTGTGCTGAGTAGAAGCTGACCTTTGCTAAAGAGAGCAGAAATGGAGTAAGAAGTTAGTAAATCCAGGATTATACAGATTTCCTCACTAATGCTACTGCTTCTTTCCTTTGCATTTCCTGGGATAATCTGAAAGTTGCTAGTCAGAAAGTGTTGATATAGTGGCTGCTCTTAGATTACTGCATGGCTCTGCCCTTGTTTCCCGGAAGAAGTAAAATTCTTTTTCTCGATATGGAGAAGCAGTCTATGTGGCAGTAGTTCTTTCCTTTTCCTCTTGAGTTTTTGACTTTAAAACATCAACTAGAAATATATGGCAATAATGTTAAATGATCCAAAAACTATTTAAAGGAAAAGGCCATTGGAATTTAATCATTATATATAATTTGTAGGCCATGGTTTAGAATAAATATGCAACAAGCTTACAGTGTTTAAGCACCCCACCTTTGTAACAGGTGTTGATCCTTGGCAAATGATTTGTTATACTGGTTTAAATGCAGGGGTCTCAAATGCATTCATGTTGTCTCAGCAGTGTGATACATAATGGGTGTCTACATGTCAGAGCAAGATACTTTGAATACCTACAGTACTTTGCATTGTAAGCTATGCTGTTTCCTTTCTAAGGAAACAAAATCAGCATTTTTTATTAACCTGTGTATATGACCAAAGTGTAATTTTTTCATGAGGCTTTCTTGACAAGGTAGGTGTGAAGGGGGTATAGAGGGAGAAGTCAAAATATGGGTTCAAACTTCCATGAGAGAGAAGTAATAGTAGTCTGTGGTTTTCTTCTTCTACAAGTCCCACTTGGGAAAGTTTTTTTTTGAATTTAGCATTGTTACCCATCTGTTAACTGTTTCTGTTCCCTTTGTTGTTAAATCTAAATCCTACAAAGGTGTTAATTAAACTAAACATTTTGTTTAGAATAGTGTAAGAAAGGCAGGTACTTTCAACTATGTTTAGTAAGTAGTCAGTTGCAGATTTTTTTCCATACTGTCACTGCAGGTCACTATAGAACTGATTTAGGTACAGAGCTAGAATGCATTTGCCTTCCTACTGATTTTAGTCATCTGAAATATAAAAAATATTTCTGGGGGTCATGAGAACATCACATGGTCAGCAAGTAACTGCAAAAAGACCTTTTTAGCAGACAATTACAGGGACATTTAATATTTGAAGGCGTTTTTAAATTTTTGAAGAAATTGTTAAATGCACATAACAGGAGGTTTTTGATTCAGAGTTACTTTGGTTATAGTCTCCCTTTAAAATTGTGCATGTATCAGCAAACTAGTAGGGTATAAATTGACCAATAAGATCTGTAGATTTTGTTGTTGTAGGCAACTCATTGCCATAAGCGGTGACAGTGTGCTTCAGGTAGAGGTGGTCTACCTATATTAGAAAAGTCATGTTGCAAATCTGGCAAGTAGTGCATATAGCAGCCATACTGGCATCCAAGATGGCTGTTGTGAATTCACATTTTCGTCAATATTTTGGCCCCCACTTGGGTTAGAAAATTAATTCCTATGATGAAACCAATGTTATATGAACTGAGGAGGTAAGTCATAAAATTTATTTTGTGGTAGCCATATGGGATTCCAAGATGGCTGATGTATTGGTATGTATGCATTAACTCAATATAATTTATAAAACCTAGTAAACAACACTATAATACTGAAACCTCACAAATCCTATCACTATAAATTTAATCGCAGACCTACAGTACTGAAAACATGATAACTCAGGCTAGCCTACTTGTTTGAGTTATATTGAGTAAAACTACATTTTTTTTTTTTTAATTTCAGAATGCAAATATGTCATATTAATAATGCATAACTCAGTGGCAATGAAACATGGACATATGTTCAGCTCGAGGCAATAGGAAAATATAATAGCCTGATCCAATTGTAATATGAATGTTACATATACCATTATACAATGGTAATTGCAGTTTTTCAGACTTCATCACTTGAATTCGTTTCTTAATCTCTGTAGTTATTATACAGTTTGCAACATGCTGTCTCATACTACTTGCAACTGGGAGTGCATAACTTGTTGCACGAGTATGTTGGTCCCTGGCATTTTGTCTTGCACTTGCAATTTATTATCCAAAGGTGGGTTAAGCGTGTTTATAATGGGAACATGACAGTCATGTTTAGCTTGCCAACCACACTGATTAAGTGATGGGGAATATGGGGGATTAGGTTCAAGTACACTTCAGCAAATGAGACTTAATAATTGGCTCTATGTTATACATTTGTGTGAATGTATCAGCAAGCCTAACCCAGCATGTTTTGGCATTAGCTTTTTGCCCCCTGATTACAGGTAAACCAAATCCTGACACATTCGGTATACTCGTCTAGATTCTCATCTTGCACATGACTTTCAGCATCTAAGTCGTCATTGTCATCTTCCAAAATCAATGTATCCAGTGCTAAAAGGCTGTTAAGAATTAACTCATTTTTGGGTTTTCCTTTAATTCAAGTTGCTGTGTTCCTTCATGCTGGATATAACTTTCAAATCTGCTTTGATCTTGAGAGTAGCATAGTACGTGTATTGTGTGTCTGAAAACTTTCCTGAACTGCAGGCAAATGGCTTCCTCATCATTTATATGCAAAGTTACAACTGCTTGTTTGGCTTTACTGGTTGTCACCGTTCGGAAGACAAGAGTGGAAGATTTGCATTTCTTTAGTGCTAAAACCGAATGGCTGTCTTGTAGTAAGTTTGAAGTTCTTGCTTCACTGTGGTCAAAGGACATTTACCACCTTCATCTTCTAAATCACAATATCTTTCAAGTGTATCTTACAGACTGTACACATTTTCCCATGCAAAACTAGCATCTCATTTATCAATCATTTGATGCTATGGTCTCGCTTCAGGAGAGAAAGAAGAATATCTTTTTGCACAGTCTCCACATGTGAATGGGAATGAGAGATTTGTTTCTTCTGTTGTTCCTCCTGCCTGCATTCAGGATGGTAATGTGCCTCAGCATCTCATAGATCTTTGACACCAATTCGACAATGCAACACTTCTTTCTCTGCCAGCTTGTGTATTCCATTGGCTGATTCAGACAACAACACATGACACAGACTCTTACTAGAATGTTTCTGGCAGAATATGCACATCCTCCAGGGAACTGGAGTAGATGATCTGCTTGATGTCCTAGTAGGTTCTTCACTTGATGTTGTTGCTAGGATTTCCCTTTCATTTTCTATCTTGCGCAGTTTTCTTAACAGTCTCTTTATGTGCTTTGTGTGTAAAAGAACTGTTGCAAGAACAGTGCCAACTGAGACCTTTTGAAGGTTGTATCGCAGGATCAATACAACGCAGTAGTCTGTCAAGAATACTGTTATAACAAGTGTTGAATTCAGCAGTTGTTCAGGAGTGCTTCGTTTACTCATACAATTCCATTAGCTAATTGTTGACTGCGAACCTACTGCGAGACGTATGATGAATCTTGTAGATTCCAAGTCGCACCTCTTATGCTTCACTAGACTCAGTGATACTATTGGCCCTGTTATAACATTTGCTTAAGGGCGATAAAGGCAAGTCTCTTGTCAACAATCTTTATCAGAGGTTTTTGCATTGAGGTAATCTGAAGCAAAACAGAGTTGATGTAACAATTTTGCAAACCTTTTGGGTATCTAATAATGAACAAAACTGTAAATTTGCTGTAGCCATCTTGGAATCCAGTTTGGTTATCACAATGAGAATGTTACAAGTTGATCTTGCTTCATACAATATTAGCTTTGTCATTAGGAATTAGTTTTTTGGCGCTAGTGGGGGCTGAAATATTGACCAAAACATGAAATCACGGCAGTCATCTTGGATTCCAATATGGCAGCTATACACACTACTTCCAAAATTGGCAATATGACTTTTCTGACATGGGTAGTGTCACAACCCAATTAAATTGTGCCCATGCCACTGGGCAAGAGAGACCATTCAAATCATCCTCATTTTGACGATTAAGGGTTAAAAGACTTCCCTGCCAAGAAATTCCTTGAAACAAAACGCTGGTGGTATACTGCTGATAATTGGTCAGCTGAAATAAAATGCTAGGGGAAACTATATATAATTGGTCCAAAAATAAGCGTAAGCTCCTCACACGTAGCACACACGTAACAGGTAGAGAAACCTAACCCACTACCTCGTAACTTGAGGAGACAAAGAGCTGCCACCTGCCAAAAATTAAAGATTCCATATAACGGTTCACCATTGGGTATCCCTGTAAAACACCTCTGCCTATAAATAGTTTAACGGTTTCCACCCAAGTCGGAGAGCTCTGGGGATCTCACAGGAAACACCTGTGCTTGTCACTAGAGAATTGGGAAATTGATCAATTCCTAATCAATCACCCCGTCAGCGTAAAATATTGACGTAGAAAGTCTTGCAAGCCCGACCGTTCATTCCGGCGCCACGTCCGTCATTATCCCGTTGTAACCTGACTGCGTGCGTGTACTCGACTCTGTAACCGAAGTTATATGCGTATACTCGACTCTATAACCGAAGCTGTAACGGAACAAAGGCTCGCCTGTGTCGTCCATCACTATCTAGGTGACGTAAGTAAACAAACTCCTGTAACCTACACGTGTCTGTGCCTGGTTAATTCCACTCCATCCATCACTACCCGCCTGCCGAGCTCTAAATCTAAACACTCCGGTGTGAGTCAGGCGGCTGCTCTGATTCACGACAGGTAGATCACCTGTACCTGAAATGCAGTGTCGCCCCTTGTGGCAATGAGTTGCCTTTACCCTTCTTTTTTACCCTGCTGCATTGCATTGGATAGGAATGTG